CTAGAAAGTTCTGTAATACGCAAGTCAGCATGACTGAGCAGTCCGAAGATTGCTAGAAGCTCATATTTACAACAATTACTCTTAACAATGCATTAAGCGTGGGACAATAGAAAAGGAACGAAGCACTACTATATGTGGAAATCTTGTGCTAAAATGTTCATAGTTCTCAATAATGAGTACTGATGTTAGTGTTGCTAGAAGAGACACATTCGAACTAAGAATTAATGGACACGAAAGGGAAAAAACAAACTTGCTTTTTTCTAGAGGGGAATGGCATTAATTGACTTTGTTCTATAAGTACAATAGGTTAGAAGCATCAACAATAACAAGAATAAACAAAGAAGCAAACCTTTATTTTTTACGAATAACTGAGTGTTTCGAAATCAATGATGCTTGCCTTTAATTTATTTTGAATAATCCATTTGCACAATAATTCTGACTGTTTAAAAGCTACTTTATCAAGCAGCCGAGATGTTTCTTTTGTGCACGCACAATACAAAACAAAAATTGTCAGCATGGAATGCTAAGGATTATCTCTAAAAATTAGTGAGACGTAATATCTCTAAGCCGCTGGATTCCCTAATGTGCACCAAAACTTGGATCGACAGTGGTTTAGCGAGGTCTGCACTGTTATCGACACGATACTTGTCACAACAATAAAACGACTCAAACAGAGCATGATCATCACGTGGCACGTTGACGCAAGCCGCGTTGTCTTTACTCTTATCGACAACAGCAAATTAGCCAATCAGATTGCGACATCACTTCCAATTGTTGGAAAAAGTGCCTTTTTTGGTTCAAATAGATATAGGAGATATGGTCGTGTTGAAGAGTTTGACAGTGGGGTCTGGAGAACAATTTGCGATGATACGTGGGATACAAATGATGCAAGTGTGGCATATAAGCAGCTTGGCTTCACTGGAGCTTCCTCTGCTAGCACTAGTGCAGCACATGGTCAGGGATCGAGTCCTATAAGGAGAGATCACATGAACTGCGTCGGATGAGAGAGCTTATTATTCCTGTGTACATTCACTTAGGAAGGATTTAACCATTGCCATCACGGCAAAGACTCAGGCGTGGTTTGTTACTTATAAACGTGAAAATTGAACTTGTTCAAGGTTTAACGCACATTTGCTTGAACATGAACTCGAAACAGACATGATCACTCAGTGTTCAGTTAATTCATATAAGAAAGTATCCTAACCAAGTCTCATCACATAAATTAGTATGCAGTAGCACTGTTTTCTCTTTCAGAACGTCAATTTTAGACTAACCTTTTTCAAGATGTGATTTGAAAAAGATAGTTAAAGATAGTTACATTAGCTCCTGTTTTCATGGTGTGCCTCTTAAGGCAACTCTTTAAAACAATAAATTCCCATGAGGCTGCTATTGTACAGTGTAACCATTCTTTTTTTTGTACATGGCACTATTTTATTTACGGTTGGTTTTACATTGTTTTTTCATGCTCTAGTTTT